TTCTTGAGGCAAAAACAGAACTGGGTGCTTTCCGCCTTAACATTCACAGATACATTCAAGGTAAGAGACTGAACAGAGGCACTAGAGGAAATAATCACAGATATCTGGGTATTCACATTAATTACTGTACACACCAGGATGACAAATGTCAACAATAATATACGCAAAAGGACCGAATGTGTGATAGGCGATTAATGTTCTACCATTTTGCACTAGCACAAAACCTCACAACACACAATCACAACGTGCATAGCTACTTCAATGAAAAGGTTTAGGTTCTCCCAAAATATATTAAAACCCCCCATGATCGTAAATAACAAGGTTAAGGTGTCGGCAGACGACTGATCAGCTAAAGCCCGCGCTATGTTCTGATGCTTGCGCATGCCCACTTTGTTTTATTTTTTTATAAATTCCGGTATCTGTGTAGCCCCTTAGTTTACACCTAAATATAACAACAAACTATCAGGACTCGAGCATTGTCGAGATGCAATACTACAAGAGAGGATGTGCAGGCCAAAAATTAGAAGATAATGCTATTTAAGGATCTTGTAATGTCTTACATGCGATCTGCTTTTGTTTCATTTTCTGTATTGTGGCTGGTTTGTTTGGATTTAGGAGTCTATATCCGTATCCGACATTTGCGCCAAGGATACATTTGTAAACTGAGGACTTTGACATAGTAATTTTTACTTTATACATTATAATGTTGCTATGAATAACGAAGAGATAATTATATGTCATAGCTACAGCCTAAACAAAGACAAATATATGGTATAAATTAATAAGTGGGAAGTGTAAGCTGAGAACTCGGGAGATAAATGAGCGACTCTGGATGGTCTTTGACCTGAACTATTAAGTGCAAGAAGGGTTGGCAAATTGGATTAATGCCATGCAATAAGAAGCTGTCTAGTCATATAAACACAACCAAGTCATTGCCATGACTTCATTGGAGTACGATGTGGACTCCATGGGCGGCCTCATGCCGGTGAGTAGATATTAAAGACTATTGGATACAGGGCGAGGAGCTGGGGGGCTCGGGCTAGGCGAGAGTATGGCGCCTCCATCTTGTACTCTGATGGTCGTGAGGCCACTCATAGACGCTACAACACTTTATGTAATGATTGTCAGAACGTGGGCGTGAGTCTTATTGCTTAAGCAACATATAATATTGGGATTTTTAAGCAAAAATTACATGGTTGAAAGAGGGCATGTAACCCCTAGGCCTCATTATTTTTCTAACTAGCATGAATTGTTTTGCAGTGTATAGTTTAGTATTTGATAACTGTTTTAGGTTCTTTGTAGTTAAATACATAGGTTGGGTCATTGTAAAGTATTCAGAATAGGCCCTGAAGACAAACAAAACTTTTGCATAAATGATTTGCAGCTCAGTGACAATGCATAAAGCTCACAACTGTTGGGCTTTTACTCAGTCCTGGGCAAGTGAAGATGTATGAGCATGTCTCCTTACACCTATTACCATGGAAGATTCTTTGATTCTGTTACTTGATGCAGTTAGTTGGACCTGTCCTCCCCTTCCTTGAATTGAACCTGATTGCCTCCTATTTCCCTGGTTTTGTATGACCCTTACATGCTTAGCATTCCCCATATCAGTAAAATAAAACAGCCCAATAAATAATCCACGTTTACCAATGGTTGAAAGTACCTTGGGTAGTTCATTGTTATGGGCAAAAATTTGGGATAAGATGAAATACTACAATTGAAAAAAACCCCCTTGCTTTTTTTTCTTGAGTTTGTCTGATTTAATTTTTTTTTGGGGGGTTATTAATCGGGGGGAAAAAATCTTGAACTCAAGAATCCCCTTTTTAAAAGGGTTTTTATTAATTAATTAACCGACATTTTTAAAAGAAAATTTTTTTTTTTTTAAATTATAAATTGGATGCTGAATGGTAAACATTTTAAAAGTAGGGGAAAAATATTGATTTTTACTGTTTAAGAACTTCATAGCACAGTATGTTCTATTTTTTACATAAAAATTTTTTTTAAAATTAACATCTGTGACAAACAAAAGACAGTCTTGTTTTATTGATTTTGATTAATAAGATTCGTTCCATATGCTATTAACTAGATCTCCCTATTGTTTTTTTTAAAAGGGGTGATTCTTATGAAATTTTGGGCACAAAGATGTAATTATCTACAAGTAATATTATCATCAATCACTAAAATTTAAAATTTTCAATTTGTAAAAACATTTAATTAAAAAAAAAAGCCCCCCTTTGGGCTTAGTTACAAGACTTGACTTAGGAAATAATTTTAAGATGTAATAATGGGGTTGCGAAAAGTCCCGGGGGTGAAATTGTTTTTTTAATTTAATTACCATCAAATTTTTTTATTGATCTTTTTTTAATTTCCAAAGCATCCTAAAAAAAAATTTAAAACTGTAAAATTTAAATGAAATTTTTGTTAAAAACCGATTTACATGTATTTAAAATTTTGCTAATTACAAAAATGGAAAATAACTCAAGCATTTTGGGCTTGTTTATGCATTTTTTGGGGAATCTTAAGCAGAAAGGGGAAAAAATTTTAAAAAAAAAAAAAATTTTAAAAAAATTATTGGTCAAATCTCCTTTTAAAATTTTGAAAATTTTAGTTCAGACAAATTTAAAAAAAGCAAATTTTTTTTTTTTTTTTAAATTTTTTTTTTTTTTTATTTTTTTTTTTTTTTTTTTTTTTTTTTTTTTTTTTTTTTTTTTTTTTTTTTTTTTTTTTTTTTTTTTTTTTTTTTTTTTTTTGTTTTTTTTTTTTTTTTTTTTTTTTTTTTTTTTTTTTTTTTTTTTTTTTTTTTTTTTTTTTTTTTTTTTTTTTTTCTTTTTTTTTTTTTTTTTTTTTTTTAAAAAAAAAAAAAATTTTTTTTTTTTTTTTTTTTTTTTTTTTTTTTTTTTTTTTTTTTTTTTTTTTTTTTTTTTTTTATTTTTTTTTAAATTTTTTTTTTTTTTTTTTTTTTTTTTTTTTTTTTTTTTTTTTTTTTTTTTTTTTTTTTTTTTTTTTTTTTTTTTTTTTTTTTTTTTTTTTTTTTTTTTTTTTCCCCCCCTTTTTCTTTATGTTTCCCCCGAAAACCCAAAAAAAAAAAAGGGGTAAAAAATTTTTTCATTCTATCAATTGGGAAAATAAAATGAAACCCCCTTTGGGGAACCCCTGTTTTTTAAGTTAAAAATAAGTAAAAAAAAAAAAGGAAAAAAAAGGCAGGAGGGTTTTTAAAAAAACTAAAAAGGGGGGGACAAAAAAAAAAATTCAGTGGGAAAAATGGAGGGAATTTTTTGGGAAATAAAAAAAAA